GGCTTTATCTCACATTCTGTTTCCATTCAATAATTAGATTTTTATTAACTGGGTATTGACCTTCTGAAGGCTCAGTACTTTGTGTGAGGACAAACAGACTTTGATACTGAATACCATCTGTGAAACATTTACTTTTTTCTAAATGCAAAGAATTGTTGCTAAATGTGCATCACTAACTAAACTACTCTGCCCCCTCCTCTAACTGCTGATAGGATCCAGTTACTGAAATCCTAAATAATTAGTTGCAAATTTTAAGTGAAGTTCCTTGCCTTTAACGCATTTTATACAGATTTTGTTCTTGTAAGGTTTTTATTTTTTTAAAAGCATAATTTCCATTAACTTCTGCTTTTAGTCAGGCTATAAATACCAGAGGAACAGTCTCCCTCCTGGTATTTTGGCACTTCTGTATCTTTTCGTAGCCAGAAAAAGTAAGTGGAGAGACATGAAAATGAAAAATAATGAAAAAACAAAGAAAAGAAGAAGAAAAAGGTAACTGAAGCACCCTGTGAATGCCAAACAAAAATTACACACCTTTGGATTCAAATAGTCTCCCATCTAGTATTTTGGTTGCTTACAAACATGTTTATTCCAAAGCAGCACTGCACGTGTTACTAAAAGTCGTCTGAAGCTTGTCTCCATGCCTGGTCCTTTGGCAGAGCTCTTTCCCACGTTTTGGCACCTGATGACAGTGTGCTAACTCCTATTTCACTTTTACTGAAGGTGAAATTTAGTATGAAATACCTGACCTGGGATGTTCTGTAGTTAAATTTAATGCAGCAGCCTTGAGCTTACTTGTCTAGGATTCAGATAATCTGGATTCAATTCCTGTTTCCTCCACAGTCCACTCGTGTAAGTCTGATGGAACCTGAACAAGGTAATGAATGCTTAGGAGTTTCTCTTGGTCCCTTCTCAGACCCCTGCCACGGTCATTCACAGAGGTCAGAAATCAGCCCTGTTTGCCTCAACTTTTCCAAGTATTGCTCTGCGTATGCCAGAATTAGTGCAAATACCTTCCGAGCGCTGATTCAGGATTATTAGACTGGAGTATGATTTTCATGGCACTGACTCATAGGAATTCTATCGTACTCCTGAGACAGATCCGCTCAGTTCAATGGGACCAACACAGAGATGGCAACTCCATAAGAGTCTAATCCTGAGAGAATGATTTGATGTTGGGGGATGAAGGTTTTAAACAGCCAGGACAAGAAGGAAAACAGCATTAACTTCGGATTTGTCTATCGTGGAGTTTTAGGGGTTTCTTTTAATTAAATGTAGTTAGTAAAATTTTTCTCTTACGGATGATAGGGCTAGTCTTTACGTGTCTTGTGTTGCCTCAAAGCTGCCATGGCTATAACACCTGTTTTATTTCTCCCCCAATTGGAAGCAATTAGCACAGGCTGGTTCATCATGGTATGAAAGTCTCATTTACTAACAGGATTTTCTAAGCAGCCTTATTCTTTATGTAATTTCTTCTCTTACCCCACTTCTTACAACTGTCACAGCAAACTCTGGTAATCTACCTTATATTTATTTATTTTTTAAATTCATCTCTCTTTGTATGAAACAACCTCCTTTCTTGACCATTTTCTGAAATCTCAGTGGTATCTCATGCAGAGTTTTATTTTTATTCCCCCAAATCCACTGGTGCAATGCCTGTAATACTGTTCTGTAAGCTGCTAAAGTTAACTAGCAATTGCATTCATTGGAATTTGTACTATCAAATAGAGTGATTCTTAAAACTTCCTTATCCCAATTTTCCTTTGCACTCATTGTTTGTTATGGCATGGTTTGTGAAGGTCATCCTAACCTTATGGGAGAACCAGACAATCTCAATGATATTATTTTTGTTTCTTTGCTAAGTTGAACAGCTCTCCATAATGTTATAAAAACCTTTCTCACAGAAAGCTGCCCTCAGTCCTCAAGAATGGAAACATGTATTTTCAACCTAATTTGGTTTTTATGCTTTCATAACATGCTGAACTGACATCTCCAGAGGCTGGCATCTGCTGTTTACACACAGAATAAAGACATCAGAAAGAAAAAATACAGCAGAAGCTTCCCATGGCCACTTGCATTGAAGTTGCCTTTGAATGACCACCTCGAGGGGTGACAGAGCATTTCAGTTTCTGCCGCTCGTTCAATCCTGTCTCTTTCTGATGAGGCTTCTAAGGAACGAATACAACTGTAATGTTTTTTTCTCATATATAACACCACTGCAGCATGTCTGCTAGGCAGGCCACTGAACACCAGTCACAAGGCAATCTCTTCCAGCTGGTTACCGTACTTCTAAAAGTCAAATTTTATCTTTAAAAAACTCCACTACGTGCAGAATTAAATTCTCTCTCTGCAGATTGTTAGCAGAACTCAGTTGTTACGCGCTTACCGTGTACCTTAGCTTTCTGTAGTCCATTTCAGCCCCCACTGAACAAATTCTTTCTTACTAGGTCTCAGTTGGCTTCAGTCATATCTGGATTTATCAGTGACCCTTCGTATCTCCAACCAACACATACAGACGTTTCCATCTGTCTTTTGTTGGATGACTCACTGCCTTACTCCTCCTCCCAGTGTATGGTTCTGCTGACTGCTCTGAGACTTCCACGTCATTAAGATCTCACTAAGCTCTCTGCATACCAGATACAGTCACACTGCTCAACAGTAAAAGATTCAAATGAACATGTCAAAATATCTCATTCTCCCATTACAAGTTCTTGAAATTAACAACCTTTTCCATATTCCTGTTTCTGTTTTCCCCTAGTTATAAACAACTTGAGTATCACTTGCTTTTTACTTCACATTTTTCTATCTTTTTATATAGCAAGAAAATCCCTCTCCCACAAAAACCTTCTACCTGAACCACAGGAAATGTTTACAGTGCAACTGCATATAAAACTTTTGGGTTTCTGGTTTTGCTAAAAACATGGATGTCAGCTCATGTTCACTAAAAACTTTGCTGAATGCTAAGTAAGCCTGACAAGATTCCCAGTTCTGCATTGAAAGCAATGAGACATGTGCAACATGATGCACGATGAAAATCATTCCTTTCAACTGAGTTTCGCTTTGATGTCCATGAACAGATGGAATATCAGGCTCACAGCAAAAGTCAAAGGATGTGTATGGGAGCTTGAAGATTGAAGGTGGTGAATCAAACTCATCAGATAATAGGGTCTCTTTGCTCCGCAGATAACAAATATCATAGTGTATGCTAATCTAAATCATTGAAGTACGCCTGAGATCTACTTTCTAATATGTTCATGGAGGACCTGTGTTACATTTCTACCTGGAAGATTTTCTGCTCGTTTCACTCACATCATGCATTGACAAGGGCTGGTCTCTGCTCATTTCCTGGAGGTGCCATATTATCAGTCCAGTTGAATGCATTTTAGAGCTATACTACTACATCTATTCATCATCCAGGTATATTGACTATCTATCAGTGTGAAACAGTTCAGTATATTTGTTTTGAAACAGCTTTTTAATCCATTTAAGAGTCTCATCCACATTTTTAAGAACAAACAAGCAAAAGAGTTGGATTCTATCATGATTAATTACAATGGAAATCAGTCCCAGCCTAAACACTTACTGAATGCTTAATCCTTGTCAGTGTTTTTACTGAACATAAAAGCCAACTCCACAGAAAAATATGTATTATTTTTATTATTATTACCCGTTTCTTTCCTGCAGCAAGTGCTTCCTTGGGGAAAAAGTACCTGGTAAAATGCAGAAATAAGACTTTTTGGCGTGTGTGCACGAAGGTAGTGTTGCTAACGGAGGAAGTATTTTGGCACAGGATAAACCATGGGAATAGGCAAACATACTGGAGGTTTATTTGATAAGCACAAGCCAACTAGGGCAGTCAGCACGTGCAGAACACCAAAACCGTGTGGGGAAGTGGGTAGCAGCAGAAGGTGATGCCACAAAACGGTACGGCAGAGTGTATGATGGAAAGTAAGACAGACAATCCAGTGTCAGCTCATTTCCTTTGCTCAGAGTCTGGCTCATCTAACCAGAGCGTCCACTTCACTTTTGCTCTTGCCGCATGCAGAAGTCCCTTTCACAGCATGTTGGAGAAAGTGACTATGCTTTCAGCACATGCTAGTTTATAGCAATCACTGCTTATACCAAATTTTTTGGATCACCCACTATGTTAGAACAATTCCACAAAAAATGAAAATCTATGTGATTTTTCACTCACTGTTGTTGTCTCCTCTTTGTCCTAACTTCCCAGAAATGCTAGAAAGATGGATGGAAAGGTAGTCAAAAAGCCACATATGGTGAATGATATTAAACACTAAGATCTTATGTTCTTTGGGTACTTATCCTTCTCACGGTAATCGCAGTAGTCTCTGCACGTAAGGAAAAATAGAACTACAAAGGTCATCACCTCTTAAACATTGTATTTCCAAAAGTGCAAAATCAAATTGCTCAAACTCAGGTGCTGCAGCTCAGCCCCATGGCCACACTACACCGTTGAAAGATCACCTTATAAACGTGATACCTTTTCTTCCCAGTGGAAGTTAAGCTCCTCTATAACCACCTTACAGCCAAGCAGCAGTAGACTTTTTTTTTTCAGGGCTGTGGAAGCAGTCTACACACCACAAGAGAGAAAGATTTTAAGAAGTGAAATCTCTCAAACTACTTTTTGCTCTATGAATAAACTCAGCTACAGATACAACTATTAACCTTCATGCCAGTTCACAGTACCTTCACAGTCTCCATCTGAGGTCGTGATCTGAATTCTCTAGTTATGAATAAGTACTGTCATCAAAAAAAGCTCTAAAGCACCACAAAACATTCTTCTTCTCTTCCTGCTAAGGACATTTCAACTTCTGTAGAAGACAGAGTCATCCACTGCATACATAGTTTAAACAAGAGTAAGAGGAATGCATGCCAATCATAAGTACCCACGCATATCTGCATACTAAAGGCCTGGTTCATACACTGTTATACATAAATACTTGCCCATTTGCTTATTTTGAGAAATTTCATAGCCATGTACTCACATGACTTCCTATTGGCTCGTGACCGCTTCCTCTCTCTAGGCACCGCTCGCTGGCTTGGCACTTGGGTGGCGGACTTTACAATGCGATCCATGATCTCATCTGCTGCATCATCCGTTGCATTAGGTGAATCATCATTGCCAGCATTCCACGAACTGATACGGCCTGGAAAAGTCCAGCAAATGAATTCAGGGAAAAGAAGACATAAGTCTCTCACGTCACTTTTGTTTTGCAGCTGAGTTTTTTTGGGAGTTACAGCAGGCAGCTCAGTCATCACTACTTCAAATTGGCCAAAGTAGAAGACTTTGCCTAACGGAGAATACGTCTAAATAATACCCTAGACTCTCTGCTGTATCAGCAGAGACCCAAGAGCTCAAATGGAATTATAACTTTCTATTCCCTTCAGTCTCAGAGTCTTTTCTTTGACCATACAACTGGCAAATGTCTGCTAGAGACTGTCTATAAACCAAGGATTGCTGGAGTGTTATGTGACCACGTTTCCCTCTCCTCCTATTACACAGAGACTAGAAGTCATGGCACATGTTAGAAACGGCCAAAAATCAGCAAGACAAGTCCTTCGTACCAAAACAGAGAAACAATCATTTTCCAAGCATCTGTATCAGAGCCTCGTGTAAACAAGACATGAAAAGAGCAAAAAATGTTGCTTGACGTGTCTAGTTGTTCCTTTCACTATGAAGAATTAACCTTCTCATCACAAAGCTCTATGTGTCCTGGTGCAGCTGTGTGTGCTCTGTTATGAGCAGAAAAGCAAGAGTCACTGGCAAGCTGAAAAGCTAAATAAGCAATTTTGGTTAAAACCACAAACAAACAAGTGAGCCATGTCTCTGAACCCAAGGCTCTGGCACTCCGTACTCCACAGAGCTGTGTCAGACACATCTTTGGGCTCCTCCACTACAGACTACTGTTCCGTGTGCTTTTTGTTTTTGAGTAATTTGAAGGCCAGTATGGAGCGAGAACACTTGACAGTGAGCTTTGCAAAGGAGTGGGTGTGGTAGAATTGCAAGCACCTAAAAACTCGTTGGTGAGGCCACTCCATATCACGTCCTTGACATCAATAAACAACAGCTTTGATTAGCACTTTTCTCTGCCCCTTCTCTCCTGGCTCTCATCACAAGCAGTTGTGTTACGACAGTGCTCCTGACAAGCTCCTGTCTGGCTCATCCATCCTCTGCCTCTGCTGTTCTTCAGGGCAACACGAGCTGACTCTCACTATCAGGACACACTGCTCGTTAGCATTCAATGGATTACTTCAGCTATTCAGTTTGTTGCAGTGCAGCTTGAATTACTTCATCTTTGTACTTTAACTGCTTGACTTGCTTCTTAAATGGGGCCTGTGAAACCTCTAAATTAGACAGGATCACGTTTTCAAGCCTTAATAAACTATACACACACAGATTTAGTGGTGGATGCTCTGGATGTGGTATCAATCGTATCAAAAAAGAATCAACAAAGTGCAAGCTATCTAGCTGTCAGGGAAAAGAAACACCAGAACAGAAAACTGAGGACTTGAATTTTGGTGCATCGCCTTTACTCCAAAACCACCTTCCAAGTATCACGTGTATGGGAGGGGATGAGGGGAAGATGAAAGAAAATGAACTGGTGAACCCAGTGTCTGTAAAACGACTTAGCATAAATGAAGTGGTTTAGTGGCTGCTTAAACGAAGAGGTCTACCAGTGAATCATGTCTTGGACAAAAAACAAGGCTATCTCATTGCCAAGAATGGTTGTACCAGCAAGCTCTTCTGTCAGAGTATCAGGTGCTGGAATCGGCAGATTGGGACGGGTTTTTGTTTCCTCCCTGTCAGCTTTCAGAAATCACCCGTGCTGATACTTGGTCAGGACAGCAAGGAGATGCGGGGCTGTCCACAGCAGCTTTCTATGCTCCCAGACTCCACTCAATCCACCACCTTTGCAGTTAAGCAGGGAGGTGGTTAAAAGATTCATTACCTTTCTCCTACCCATTCTCCTCTCCTCAGTCATTCCCAAGATGCTGCAAGGCCCTTTCACTCCAATTTGAATTGCTACTTTCTATTTGCTTCTGTTGACAATAAAAAGAAAACCGCATCGTGGATCCTCCATTTTGACTTCGTGATGAGAACAGGAATAAAAATTGGGGTGTCAGCAGGCAGACACGTTCACGGGTGTGCGAATTTCCGCAGGCTTGTGCTCCTAACGCCCGCAGGCATTACTTTGGCGGCGATCCACGC